TTACCATGAGATGAGATGAGATGGGGATGGGGGCCGGCCTGTTTGTCCATCTCAGTCTTTGCACAACAAACAAACAAACATACAGGCTGGGTATCGTGTGTCTAAGCCAGGGAAGGGCAGGGGGGTATGTTTTGCCAATCATTGACATCCCGCCCTCGCAGCCTCAATGTCCTTAGTATGTACTCGCATTTAGGTTGGACGCATGTCCGGCATACGTGCTTGAGGAGAGACAACAGCGTGAACGGGTGATCTGTTGCTGCCCTACGAAAAGTTGAAAGGTATGAAACGATGCGTGGGCGCAAGGACGTATTGCCAGTCATCAACATTGTTCGGCAGGGGCTTTAGAAAAAAGAAGGAAATAACGGTCTTCTCTGGCGAACATATCGTTCAGTGTTAGTGTTAAGTACGGAGTATGGAGTACGAACACCATTGGAAGGAAGGTACGGAGTATGGTATGGCAGTATGCACGTCTGCACCGGACGTGCGGTTACCTCGCAGAGCACCAACGGGCAGGCAGACAGACAGGCGGCAGACGGCAGCTGCAAGATCGGGAGACCCGTCTGTTCGCACAGCTATCCAAGGAAGGAAAGGTCTAGTTAGGTAAAGCAAGTCAAGAGCGGATATGACGTGTGGACAATGGATGGGGCATTGTGGGCATGATGGATTCTACAGTAATCCCCCTGTCGTGTCCCAGTACAGGCGAGAGGCCCTGCAACGGGGAGCAAAAGCTGTCCACACACTCCACAGTCAAGAGTCCATCAGATATGACGAGTCTGATGTGAGAGAGTGGCGGGAGAGTGGGTGTGTGTGTGTGTGTGTGTGTGAGAGAGAGAGAGAGAGAGAGAGAAAGAGAGAGACTGTGTTCGGTTGGCTTGTCCTGTTGTGTCAAGACGGAAACAACGCGCACAGCAGCTACGCCAACGGGAATCTCGCTTGACGTGTCAGGACTCAGGACTCGCTCACTCTCACAGGGCCTTACCCGCGCACCGCACCTTACCTTACGTACGGGTACTCAATTGCAAATACCTTACCCGCCTGGCCCTGGTCTAGCCTCTTGTCTCAGACACACAAGAGACCCAGTCCAGGGGCGAGAGACAGCAGGCACCCGTATAACGGCTGAAGGGCTGAATGGCTGGCCGGTGGGCTGGCACGTTGCAATCTCGATATGATGCTGCGCATGCGGAGCACCGACCGGGAGAGAGAGAGAGTGCCTGTGTGCCAGGTGTGTAATATAGCCAAAGAGGCGGTGGGTACGTACCGAGTAGTCTATAGTGTAAGGTATCCGTACTCCGTAGATATTCGTGGCCTGTACATTGGTAACGGCCTGGTTGGTGCATCATGGATGATGAACAGGCCAGGTTTTGTTTCCCATCCACCCTGTCTGTCCTCCCCCCTCCCCTGTTGTCGGGCTGAGATTGGAATTGAAGCTTGCCCATGCTTGCTTGCTTGCTTCCTCCCACGCCTCCTCCCCTGTCGCGTGGTCTTCACTATTACCTAGTCTGTTCCCGTGTCCAGTGTGTGCGAAAGACACGAGGCACTTGGCAATGCTCCGTAAACTATTTGATAGCTACGTTGGTGGGGACCCGGGAATGCTACAGAGAGCTTCTGCAAATCCCACTCTCCGTCTCTTGTCGACTTCGATTGTCCGGGGATCGAATCTTCGTACATACACTACGAATATCCGTACTTACGTACCCGCACTGGAGAGCGGGGCACATCCCCATATACCGCATGCATTCTGCTTACGCTCTCTAAATGGCGACGGCCTCGCTCACCCCTGCTCGCGAGGCTTCCCGCTATGAGAGCTGGCTCCATCCTTGTCACCTCCCACCTCCCAGTCTCCTGTGTCCCCTTGTCCCCGTTCGCCTGCGCTTATGCCGCTGGCCGACCGTTGATCGACGGGAGCCCATTGGCCCGGCGCGCAGAGCATGGGGTGAACATGTTCCATAGCCGTCCCGACCCAGAGTCGTCTATCTTACGAATACTACTCTATATCATTTGTATCCGTTCGGATCCAACCCAACTCCTACGGATACTGAGCACTCCGTAGGGACTATTCCATTGAGAACCACAACTCAGCCCAGATGCAATCGCATCTCAGATTCAACCTCACATCGTTTTTCCAGCTGCTGGCCCAGAGGCTTCCCAAGAAATTAGGCGTGCCCCCCCCCCCATGTCTCTTTTTTTTTTCCTGTACTCTACTGCACAGTATACGCCAGACCAGTTCCACTTGATCTCACACCTCCCCCCTTTCTCTTTCGTGGCCGTTTCCTCATGGACGACCAAAACCTGTCTAACCCCTCCGGGCATGATCACCAACTACAACGGCAGCCGTATTCCCACAGCGTCGCAGTGGCACCCAAGAACCGCCTAGGTCCCCCCGCTGCCCCTCCCCCCAGTACACCCTCCACTGAAGTCATGTTTAGATTGGATCCTAGTAACGCAGATGATCGCCGGGCTTCCGATGTGATGTGGAATCATTTCGCCAAGGAAGTCTCTCAGCTGCTGAACCCCTGGACCGCAAATGTTCATAACCTGCAGGGGACTCGGGAGAGCGAAGAATTGCCATGTCCCTGGGGTTAGTATGCTTGGTTTCCAACATCCGTCCGTAGTGTATGAACACAATCATTTTTTCCTCTCGTCATGTGGAGACACCAACGGTCTCTTTCGCCCGTATGATACGCACGTACTTTCAATCTTCTCATTTTATTTTCTCTTGGTCAAGGCCCTGAAAACATCTCCCCTTGACCAAATCTTTCTTAATCATATCGCTGTGGTTCAAATGAAGTAAACAGACCGGGTTGCACTTTTGATGACACTGGTGATGATGCATGCCGAGAATGTAATCAATGACGACAACGTCAAGGAGGAGAAGCGATGCGAGATCTGCAATCGTAGAACGAAGAGGAACGGCCGCCATTTTTTTTTGTTCCATTCAAATGCACGCTGTGTCGGGCTACGGGTGTCGACTTAGCCGAACGATCCAACGTCTTTTTCTTGTGGTTGCAAACGGCCCGTATGGCTGGGTCTAGTCTTCCTGGTACGTTCTGGATATGGGTTGCCGCGGACCAGGCCCTCACCCTACTGGTGACCGTCGTGGTTCTCTCTGGGCGGTAGTCTGAAACGGTCAACGGTGACTTGGTAGCTGCGCCGGCGCTTCGGACGACAACGCCTCTCACCTTCCCTAGGCTCACGATTGGTCGAGCTGAGATGGAGGACTCGGCATCGTCCATGCGTGCTCACACAGCCCGTGTGGTTAATCACGAAGTGGGTGTCACTGAGGCAAGACACCGGAATACTTTCGGATACTGCGCTTGGAGAACGACTGGCTGGTTTTCCCTGCTTGTTGTTGTTGGCCAAGTTTGCTTCGATCGTTCGCCCTAGGTATCCGTAGATCTGGTACGCGCCTGCTGGTACCTTGATCAACCAGGTTTGAAGACGACTGGTCCCTCGTGTACCGGCCGGCTTCCTTCTTTTGGCTTCAGGTTCTCTTCCTTTTTTTTTTTTTAATTTTTTTTTTTACCACGCAGTCCGTACACATGGCCATGATTCGCTTGGTCGCGAGGCGAGCTGAGATTCTGATACATATTACGTAGATCTTAAGAGACGCAATAAAGTGACAGGCCCCAGGGTTGAATAGGGCGAGTGTGCGAGGCTGGCTGGGTGGCTGTCCCCGCTATGTTGAACTTTTCTGGGTCAAAAGAGCCGCAGATCCTATTTGATCCCATCAGCACGGCCTTGGTGCCAATTCGCTGCCAGGTTGCTGCCATCCGCTGGTGGTACTCCGTACCAGGGATCGCCAACGGGACACAAACATTCCGAGGGCGGGCGACCAGGGTCCAGCGAAGATCACGGTGCACCGTGGCACCTCGTTTTCCGCCCTCCCCTCTTCTCCTGTGCTTGTCGCTCGCCCCTATTGATGGACAACCGAATGCCTCGCCAATTCCTCAACAGTTGGTGGGAGCGCGCGCGGGTGCGTGCGTGCGATGCGAATGCGTGGGTAGACGACGACAATGATAACGACGACCGGTGGCGATGCAGAAGGCAATAGACATTAGACGAAAATACTCCTTGGGCCTCGGCAGCAGATGTGAAGATGTGCGAACTATCTGTCAGAGTGCTTTTTGATTGATTTGATAGACGTCGCTGTCGCGCTGCCTTGGCCACGTCTGTGCTCCTTCTCCTCTGGATATTTTCGGTTACAATTCGTCATTCCTCAAGATGATGTACGGGATACGGTATCCGTACGCGGGAAGCGGGAAGAGGGGTCTCTTCACCTCGTCCTTGCGTCGTTTGAAGAATTGTCATGGCAAAGCCACAAGAGCAATGGTAAGTCGGGTCGGGTTGAGTTAACCATCTCGAGTCGAGTCTGTGTCTTTGACGTCGTCTGGTGTCCGGATTTAGGGATCGGCCTCGAGGAAGAGAGGCGGTGGTGGGGGCTAGACGGAAATAGAAGGGAAAGATGGGAAAGATACATTAGCCGAGGTCACTTTGTTACTTTCCATTCCTCCCGTCTACTCTCCGTCTCCGTCTCCTTCTCTTTTTCTTTCCTGCCTTCCTAACGCCGTCTTCGTCGAGTCTCGCCTTCCCTGTACAGCCAAGATAGATACATCAGGTAGGTAGGAAGGTAGGTGCAGGGCATCTCGGGGAAACATCTGTGAGGAAGGCACTCCGTACGAATTCGCATTGTCCATGGGTCTTAGCTGCCTACCTTACGTATGGACCGATGACGGGAAAAAAGTTTCAAGATTCGTATATTTTCATACTCTAACTTGCAAACAGGGGATACCGAGCTCATGTTTTTGTTACGTCTTGGACTTTTCTCCTCCTCCTCTGGACGAATACTTGGGGGACTGTGGTGAGATTGGCCGACATGTTTATTTGACTTTTCAGTGAGCAAGGGATTGAGAATGAGGGAGGGTTCTCGGCCGTGTTCTTACTATGTAGGTATCCCCCTCTCCCCTCCTCCTCTACCCCCCACTGGCTTACCCTCCAATTACATGCGGCTAAATCTTCACGTCGATTCCGCATCTGGTATTGCATCAGATTGATTGACCGAATCATCCTGTCTTGGCACATGTTCCGTTGCCCGAAAATGTCCTACAAACTCCGTACCTACTGCGGTAGATAAACGCGTGCGTCTACTCCATACAAGGTTTTGCTGAGGAACGAAGCCATCATGAGATTGGAGCACAAACGCCCATCTGCCCACGAATATGCAACGGACGTGTACCTGTCTGTTAAGTAGACAATACTTTCTCAACTCATTCGACACTCGAGACTTATTTGTGTGAATGCATGAAGGTACACGAAAGATTCCTTATCCACCATGCGATGCAATGTACGACGGGCGCACCATGTCGCGCCGTCCGCCTTCCGCCTTCTCCCTCGCTTTTCTTTGTCCCCGCCGCTCATCGCTCTTCCCATCTGCCCCGTTCTGCTGCCATAATCCTCGTCATGATCGACACTGGTAAAGCCCACCCGCTCATCTGCAGCAGAACATCCCCGATCTCGTGTTTGGCTGCGAGCGTTGACCCTGACCGAACGCTCTGTCCTCCGCCTCACCTGTACCTCTTGTCCCTGTCTAGCGCCCTTGATAGCTACCTGAGCCTCTGCCATCCTTACCTGTCCGCAATTGGAGCATCTCAGCCATCCGATGTCTGCTGAACCCAGATGTGAGTTTGCACGCTCACTAATCACCCACCAACTCTTTCATTAACCCGTAAGCCTGTCTACCTTGGTATGTTTACCCTGTGTGCCTGGGTCCTGCGGTTTTCCTTGCGCCTCGCGCCATACAGTCACTATGATTGAGCCATATATGTATATGCACCCACGTTGCACAAACTTTGATCGAGGGCCCATATCAGCCGAACGAGCGGTGGCGGGGAATAATTGTTTAAAAAAAAAACCGATGGAAAGTCTGGCCCTGGACGTTTGAGGTTCCCACTCATCGTCGCTGACGTGGCTGCCAACCAACGTGGGAGACCCCTCTCGTTTCGCCCAGGCACTGCCGACTTGATCAGGACCGCTTGAGTGCTTCGGTAGGTATCCATACCCAGTTGGTGTACCTGGGCTAGACAAAAATTGAAAGTTGTAACCATGTTGCTATTCCCTCATGTCACGATGCATTTTGTAGCTGTAGATGTGTTTTCGTGACTTTTTGATTATTGGTGATGTATACACCTTTTACGACAGTATAGCTAAATTCAATGGGCGTGAGATTCTATTCCTGAATCTCTACCGTCCTGCCGCCGTCCCATGCCAGACCTTTTTGATTTCTCAGGTCTCCCAATTGCGCCATCCCCTCGCTAGGGTTTGAATATCAGGTATCAAAGCTATAAAAAAAACCAAAAAACCAGGGCACAAGTTTTACGTCCCATTCCCAGACGTACCGCCCATTAGACGTGGTTCGCGATTCCAGAACCCATGTACTCTTTAGTGATACATTATGGCATACATGAGGATTGTATCCCTTGGGGTACAAAAAAACAGTCGAATTCGTTGTTTCCTCAGCCCAGAAGCGCGGAAACATCCATTCTGGAGTCCTTGTCTGCAGATGAAGGAGATGGCGGCGGCAGGGCTTGCTGAACCGTACTCCTCACAGGCGAGTTGGGTGCTGTGAGGAGGTGGGATGGGAGAGAAGGCAGGCGCATGTGGCCAGCTTCTTTTCTATCAGTTGGAGCATTGATGAGGCTACCAAAGGAAGGCAGCGAGCGAGGGGCCGAGTTCTCGTCCATGCGGAGCGGAGCCAGTTGGACAGATGGCGATGTACCCCGCGAGAGGCATTGGGGGGAAGTGGTGTAGCTTGAGGCAGCATCGGACATGGTGGACGTCTCTCCGTCAAGGCCGTCTGTGCCAGGCGAAGAGGTAGAGTTGGGCGACGGAAGCGGCGACTCGAATTGGTAGTAAGGGTGGCTGTGGGTGTAAAAGGCGGGAGAGACAGGCGACGACATGCCGTGTCTCATGTGAGGGTAGGAGGCGGCATGAGAATTAATGGTGAGAGTGGGTCGGAAACCAGAGTGACCATATCTGCGGTCGTCGTAGCCGGAGGTGCTGCCTTGGTTGGCCCTGCGACGATCGTGACGCTTTCTGCGGTTCTGGCTTCCATTCCACCAGTTCTTGACGGCATTGTCACTGCGGCCGTGGAGCCGTCTTGCAATCTCTGCCCACCTCTTGCCGATCTCGTTGACGAGAACCTCGATTTGGGCACCCTCCTCGGGAGTGATGGGCTCGTGATTCAAGGTGGGCTTCAGGTTTTGATGGAATCGTTCTCTGCATTGCTTCGGTGTCCTTGTTCCCAGGGCTTGAGCAATGCGCACCCAGTTCAATGGGCCCTGGTCGTTGACAAGTTGCATGAGATAGGCGTCTTCCTGTTGGGACCAAGGCCCTCTCCTTTGAGAAGCGAGAGACATTTTTGGCTGTGGGAAAGTTTGCGAGGTAGTGGCTGAAGTGTTGATTTGTGAGTATCGGTATCAACAGAGCACAAGGGAGTCCGACGATAATGTATCAGTGTGCGTGTGTGTGTATGTGTATGGATATGGGAGGAGAAGAAGTACAGTTGTAAAGTGGTAGTTGAAGGCTAATGACAAGTTGATGCTGGAAGTGAAGAGGCTGAATGAGGTCTTGGATGAGCGTGGGATGTCTGCGTATATATGTTGTTGAGCAGGTGGAAGCAGCGTGGTGGAGAAACCGAGCCAAAAGCAGAAGCGTTCAGGTTGGAAAGGCTGTGCGTTCAGAAGGAGGTGTGTAGGTAGGTAGGCACGAATACTGCGTATGTGACCGACTACAAGAATAAAATTGGAGGGCCTGGGGGACGACGACGAAAGAATAAGAAAGGATAAGGTTTGGGTCGAACCTGGTTAGAGGGTGGGAGAATAAGAACGGGGGTGTCGTAGATGAAAGGAACTTGCCCCAGTCCAGACGAGTAGATCAAAATCAGGATCAGGATCAGAGCAGACGCAGACGCAGAAGCAGAAGAGACGGGTGATGGGTGATGATGGTAAGTGGAGCGACGGTTCGTGAAAATCCCCCGGCACACGCCCCATGTCCCACGCTCACACTCATTGCACGCCCACGCCTATACCCACGCCTACCTTACTTAGCCCACGCCCACCTAGTCCGGATTGGAAGCCAGCCCATGTCCGCGAGAGAAGGTACTTCGTACCATGGGCAAGTGCCAACATCACCGGCAGCGGCAGCGGCAGCGGCAGCGGTAGCGGCAGCAAGCGGTACTCGGTGGCCCATGGGACAGCTCCGGGAGGCAGAGGTCCAGAATGTAGAAGAGCACGACCCGAAGAAGCTGGGAAAGGGCGAGCCGCCTTCCCTGTCTAAGCTTGGGAGTCAGAGGACGGACTTTTGGGGTGAACCTTACAAAAGGGAGCTACAAAGCTAGAAAAGGCATGCGAGGTTCTCGTGCAAAGTACATCTTCCTCTAAGATCGGGAACTGGAGGTGCGGGGATGGGTGAGGGCATGGGCGTGGGCGTGGGCGTGGGCTGGCAACCGCAAGAGATGTGAGAACGAAGAGAAAGAGAAGGAGAAGAAGGAAAGAGACGGAGAGTGCCAGAGCCAGTGCCAATGCTCAGGTCGACATTAGCTGTATCCGTCGTCGTAGTGTAGTTATCGTTGTCGCTGTCGTCGCCTTTGAGCAATGGAAGAGACAAGTACATTTCTTGCGGTACCTCGAGGTCTGGTACGGAGTATGGAAGCCTTGGTAGGAGAAAGGCCTAGATCCAGGCCCGAGTCGCTCTCTCCAGCCAGTGAGGTGAGTGGGAAGAAAAACTGGTAGCGTGGGAGATCACCTCAAATCGCGGTACGGAACGGGGCCGCTTGTCACTTGCTTCGTACTCATCCAACAGGGTGAGCCATCCGTCCTCGACATACCTTACCTACGCACTCAGTATAGGTAGGATTCGGAGGTACCTCTCACCACCACCACCATCACTAGGAAGGTAGGTATCACCAACGAGCCTCAACTGCCCGTTTCCTCCTCTTTCCCTCTTGCCTTTCTTTCTGTTTACTTTCCTCCCCGGCTCGAGATAACTTCAAGTGGTGTCTTCTCGAGCCCAAGCTATCATTCCGCATCACTTCACAATCGTGGTATGAACTTGATCCTATTATTGGTCCAAAGGTCACTCGACACTATCTGTTTACTGCACATGGATGACAGAGTGTGACCGCGGGAGGGAACCTATGAACCACGGCCGAAGCTGGTGCCACGACCAGACCCAGGCGACGGGAAAGACTTCTTTCAATTGACAAGCCTGACTTGCGGCTATCTCCTTTCGAGACACACGCCCTTGGCCCTTGTACTGCTTGTCGTACCGCCCTAGTCCCTGTCGACCATCCCTATCCCGGCTCCAGCTTCGCTGCTGGTGATAACCCTTGTTCTTCTTGTGGGATTGGGGCCTGTCCCTGGCTCTCGAAGCGGCCCCGGCTCAAGCCACAGTCCAGAACTAAGCCAACGCCATGGACCCAGCGGGACAGGATGCTCTGTGATCTGATGCCAGGATGATGCTAGGATATGACCAGGCTGTGGCCCGCTGTTGGAACCGGCCGCTGCTGAATGGACGGATGAGGCATAGTAAGAACGACGAGGGTTCCCGATCGTGGAGGTCCAACTGTTTCTTGCCTATCCAAGAGGTACCCAAGAAACGGCACATGCAGGCGCATTCGGAGCGGGCTAGGCACAGCTGATTCGTCTCCCCGACTCGTTCCTGGCTTCTAGCTCTAGCATTGGTGGCATCTGGTCAACGGATAATCATGGTTGCTCATACCGTAATCTCAGAGGTCCTCATCTGTCCTCACCTGCCCTCACCTGCCCTCACCTTACCTTACACCATCTCGCCTGTATGTGCTTGGACTAAGACTGACCATTGAGGGGCAATCTGGGCGGGTCCGAGTTGAGAGATTGGTGTCCGACGAACTTTGCCAGGCGCATTCGGATAACCTCAACTGCTCAGGGATCGTCGTCGGCTCGGTGGTCCTGCTTCATTCATCTGACGGAATGTCACGTATGTGTCTGACACTGTTCACTTGCCTTCGTTGGAGAGACGAAGGTCAACGCACCTTGACACTGCTCTTGAGGTGGGCACAGACGACGGAAGCACGAGCGATACGCTCAGGAGGCTGACATCTGTTCATCTTGAACTGATCCTTTGATTCATGATTAGACTTTTCCCTGCAAGCGTGTCCTCTCTTTTTTCCCCCTCAGTCTTAATTTTCTCAAATTGTGGAATCGTCGGACTCGACTTGCTTTCAACTGATGGATTCGATTGACTTGGTTGTCGAGCTGCATATCTCACAATGATCCAGCTCAACAAGCCGACCGAGTGCGAGTCGCACGATGCACAGACTCTGCATGTACGGTTGGTCAAGGTTGCGGCGGCGCGCACTGGTGCAGAATCTGTGAGCTTTCTGGAGTTGCAATGTCTGTACCCAGCTTGCTTGCGTTGTGCGATGCGGATGCGAGTCGACACGGTACTCTACGCAGTATGAAGCATACCTGTCCCACGCCGACGCCGCAGACGTTCTTCGGCGAACCCTGCTCGGTACCCCTATGGACTTTTGCCGCTCCCGTTCACGTTCCTGACCCAGTCCGCCTTCGGTCTTACCAAGGAACGATAGACGGATGGACTGGCCGAGATGAGATCGGAGTGTATCAGGCCCG